GAATACGAGCGGGAGAAAACCAAGGGGGGAGATAGCTTTCAGCCATTTGGTTCACACCAGCCAGATTGGGAACTGGCCCTAGCAACAGTTCTCACAGTCTTATCAACTACAAAAGCAGCAAAACATTCCAAAGGCAAAACGCACTGGGAGGATGAGAACAGAGAAATGCCGACTATTCCCCCCCATACAGCAGGCAGGTAACACAGAGCATACCCAGAATCCAAATGGCACTTTACTGACACCCAGCTACAGAGATCAGTCCCCCCAATCAGCTCCAGGCTGGGAAATTCCCAGAGATTTGGGGTGCAGCCTTGGGAGGGTGAGGTTTGGGGAGGGAAGTGACCTCAGCAAGATATAGTGCAATAGATTCCCCCCTCCAAAACAGTCTTTTTCTCCAGGGAAATAATCTCTGTAATCTGTTGGCTCAAGGTATTTGAATGCTGTTTTGAGCTCCAACTTTTTCTGTTCCATTATGGGTTTGGTAAAACAGGAATGTCTCAGCTGGCAACCCTAGCCAAGCCTGGCCCTGATGAGTCCTCCGTCAAAGGCCAAAATGGGCCTAGAAAGGGTCCTGCCCCCTCCCCATGCCTTTCCCCCCACAGCTGCCACTGCGGCAATCCATTGCCTAAAGCTACAGGCACTCCTATCATTTTTTTTTTTTTAAATGTAAAGCCCCCCCCCCAATCTATTTTTGTAAAGTAGTGGCGTTCCAGGAGTAGCATGGTGAAATCAGCTCACATTTATTGATTACATTGGAACGAAAAGAGATAACTTAACCGGTACGAGGCCGGCTTATATTCGTGTACACACTCACACCCAACCCTCCCCCCCAAATTCCCATGATAGGTTCTATATACACGGCCCAGTTAATGATAGGTTCTCTTCAGGATCCTAGCATTTCCATTGGTCCTCGCTAGGATGCGCAGTGGTATTGTTCTAGACCTGAAAGTCTGCAAGTCCGATAGACCACATGGCTAGGTGCACGTGGTTGCAGCCATCTTAATACATAACTGTCAGGTTCAACAGCAAGTAAATCTCCACACACGTTTCCAGGGAAGCATTATGGTTTATTAGACTACAGGTCTGTTACCATGTCCACAGGGTTATTGTTAGGAATGACAATAGGGTGGAAACATCCCTACATATAGCAGGATGAGGCAAATGGCTAAGCAAATGAAATCCAAGCGCGCGCGGGGGGGAATTCTCTCAGCGGGAGGTTACATAATAAGTGGGAGTTAGGAATCACTTTTCCTCCATCAGGCTGAGTCTCTCCTGAGCGAGATGAGCGGTCCCGGTGGGGCAGGGGTGCCTACCCCGACAACCACGGCAGTGCCTACCCCAATTACTATGGCGGTGCCAGTGACGGCCCCAACCACGACAGCACTGGCGGCTCCCACTCCAATGACTTCGGGAAAGGGGGCGCCCGTGATGACGGTGAGCCCAGGAGGGCCGGTATCCACGAATGGAGGGGCCAACCCTAGGTCGGCAGTTTCGTTCATCCCGGTGCATTTGGGAAGGGGAGTGACCTACCGCCACAAAGAGAGGGATTGGGGTCGGCATTTGGGCGACTCCATGCAAACTACCTGGTCAATGCCAGGGAGTAGGAGTTGGGACAGTATCTTGGACCCGCGGTCCAGCTCAGGAAGCTTCGGAATGACCCCGGGTAGACCCATCCCATTCCCACCGAGATCGTCGGTCAGTCCAGGTTGGGACTGGATATTTTGGAACTGGACTGTCGCACTATAATGCGGGACATGGGACATTTGCTCCAGAACCTTCCGGGGATAGTGGCCCAGGCGGTACAGACCCAACTGGCTGTCCCACAAGTTCCGCCATGAATCCCCCCCCCCGCCCGGTGCTGGGACTGGGACCTGGTCAGCCGGTCCCACAGCCGGCTCCACCGCCGCCTCCCCCCCTCCACCTCTGCCACCGCCAACGGGGCAGCCACAGGCCCCAG